ATTAGCGACGGACGTAGTGAAGGTTTAGACCGTCGCTAAAAAACAACTAATTTAAACGATCATCGAGACCATCACAAAGTCCGTCGCTATTTTACGACGGACTTACCAAGTGTTTAATAAACCGTCGTAAAGATTCCAACTATTTACTACCATATTTAACAATGTTTTTTTTTTTTTTTTTTGCAACGGTCCAAAAACCATCGTAAAAATTTAACGATGATCATTTTAGCGACGGGCTTTTGACCGTTGCTAAATCATCTTTTCGACAGCTTTTACACATTTAGCGACGATCTAGACCGTTGCTAATTTAATTGATTTTCGTAGTGTAATCCAGGAGATTAAGGATCATGAAAGGAGGACTATGACAGGAAAGCTAATTTGGGAGCTGGAGAGATCGATATTATGTTAAGAAGTCCAAGTTCTAATGCCAATTTGTGCAAAACACATTATGAAAGGGATTTGAGTAGTGGAAATGGGTAATTTAGCAGAAACTTTATTCTTAGTACATGCTTCGACTAAGATTTAAAAACAGACTTCGACTAAGATTTGTTTGTGCCAAGGTACATTCTTTGTAACAAAGTATAGTCAAGTTTAATTATTTCATTTTGGAATCATTATATCTCTCTCTCTCTCTCTCTATATATATATATATATATAACTCATACACCCAAAGCTTCTAGTAGACTAAGTCTATCGGGATTTGAATTGGTGACCTTTGTTGCAAGAAAACATTACTATTGAGCTACAAACTCTTTGATTGAAATCACTAAATTTGAAAAAAAATCCTTTAGTCATTTTGATTTGAATTAAAAATGTACCACATGTTTATACATCAATGGTTGATTGATTAGAATTACATTAAAAAATATTCGACGTGAAAAGAGAGAAGGATATTTCTTTTTCTCTTTTTTTGTCTTAAAATTATTTTAAAATTTTGAGAGATGTTAAAAAAATAATTTATTAAAAATTTTGGAAATTTTAATTTGAAAAAAGTTTAAATTTTTTATTTATTGCAAATTTTCAGAAAATAAAAAATTCTATAATGTAAATGTCACAGCAATTTCGAAATTGCCTTGTTTAAGAATTTTTTATTATTTATTAAAAGCTTTCAAAATTCAGTTTGTTTCAAAAGAAATAAATTCTTAAATTTATTCAAAAAAAAATTTCAAAATTTTAATTTTTTTAAAAAATATTATCTTTATTTATTTATTTATTTGAAAATAAAAACATTAAATCCCAAATACGTTTAGCACCATGCTTACTCTTTGTAGTCTTTTAAACGAGAGTGTACAAATTGGATGCAAATTCCTGATTTGGGAAGCCCTTATTTGGAAAGATGTTCCCCGCCACGTCCATAATGAAGGTTGATTTTTGTCTAATTTTTTATTTTTGCAGCAAATTGTAATTTTATTGTTAAGCTTAATTTAAGTCGTTTTTTAAAAAAGATAGCTGAAATATATATATATATTCTCGATGGCGTTGGGTCCAACACTAATAAAAATTTATATTATAACTTTTGAGTTAAATTAAAATAAGTAAATTATAATAGATTGATTTGAGATATTGCAAAATTATAAATATCATTCGAATTTTAAAATTTTCAAAAATGAAAAATACTAGGATAAAATTTAATAAAGTCTTTTATCTAATAGGAATTGATGTTAATCCAAATCAATCATATTTAGTAATTAGGTCGTTTTACATTATACGGATTATGTTGAGACTCGAACCGAATGTTATGTTAAATTGACAAGATGTCAAACATAGGGTTTTGACAATTGATTCAATATGATGTCGGAAAAATAAAAAATAAAAAATTAATTTAGCTTAAGAAATAAAACTTGAAATTTTGACTTAAAATTATTTTTTAGCAAAAATCAAAATTTTTAACGGATAAATTTTTTGGCTAAACTAGATGTGGTATATTTTTTTAAAGAAATTGTGCTTTTCGATGATTGATATATTTTCAAAAATATAACCAACTCGCTTATTTAAGAATCTATAAAATAGTGCCTATTTTAGGTTTTTAATTTTTTTTTTTACTACTAGATGATAACTCCGAAATTAATAAACAACTTACATTCTCAAATAAATAAAATTTTCAATAAATGAATCCCAAATAATAAATTATATATTAATTTTCCAAAATCTTGCTAGGATAGCGACAATTGAAACTAACTAAAATTTTCAAAATAAGCTAGTTTAATGATGCAAAAAAGTTGACTTCGAAGCCATGAAATCAGTGAACCCTGCTTTGGAATTTTGTGTCTGTGGTCATCATCTTTGGCTGTCAAATTTACTTTTTTAAGACGTGGTAATTTACTAGTTTATGACCAAAATGTAATGATATTTTCCCTATAAATAGCCTTCCCTAATTTGATGCTTTACATAGTCAAGGATAAAAAGACAGGTATCTACTTCATTTCGAAAAATGGAAACCCAAGCAAACACTAATGAGCAAAACAATTCTCGTCGAGTGGCAAATTTTCCTCCAACCTTATGGGGTTGTAGCTTTGCTTCATTTTCCTTCCCTCAAAAGGTACACTACTTGTCTCTTAAATATGTCTAAAAGTTTGTTTATTCAGGTTTTTTTTTTCTTTTTAATAAATAAAACCATATATTGTGTTGTCATTCTTCTCACATGCATATCAATGCTAAAGGAGTTATATTTATGTCTAGCCGTTATTTTTATTTTAAACAAAATCTGATTAAGTAAAGTTATATAAAATATATTATCAATGGATTGATAAAGGAAAAAAAAAAAACACGCTGTAAATTACTCAATAATCTCAATTTATATTCGAGGTCTTCTGGGGAAAATTCAAAATTTGAAGTTTGCATGTGCAAAATGTAAAACTTGTATTTCTGCCACCGCTAGCCCTATTTAGATTGGTTCTTATTAAAGATAAAAAGTATGAACAATAAATCATTGTCTTTGCAAGAGGTCACTGATTGTTACTATTAATATTATTATTATTTGAGGATTTGAATTTAAAAAAAAAAAAAAAAAAAACCATTATAAGAAGAGGATATAATAATCCCTCATTTTTATTATAGGGATCAATCAATCCATCATAATAATATGACTCTTTTTGCTTGTTCCGCTAATTACTAGTTATTAAAGCTAGCCTCTTAGTTATCTAACCATTTATTGTGAGTTGCAAGATCTTATTTATGAAAATAAATAAATAAAAGTATCAGCTACTTATATATGAAAATGAATATTCCTGACCATGTAAGAGGGGAGAGGAGGGGGAAAAAAAACAAGGAAGTCATTTTTATTTGTATTAGTTGATTTAACAGCAAATATGTGAGTCGCTTTTTACTCACTCAATATTTTAATGCAGGAATTCCAGAAATACACCCGAGAAGTAGAAGTTTTGAAGGAAAATGTAATGGACATGTTAATGGCTTCCAAAAACGACCCAGTGGAAAATATTCAGTTCATCAATTTGTTATGTCGCCTTGGTGTTTCATATCATTTTGACAAAGAGATTGAAAACAACCTAAAACAAATTTTCCATGACTTCCCAAATCTTCTGAACAATCATGACTATGACCTCTACACTGTGTCAGTCCTATTTCGAGTATTCAGACAGCATGGATACAGAATGCCTTGTGGTGAGTGCCTACACTTCATAGTTTTTTAGACGTGAATGTTCCTTCTTTTTTTTCTTTTTTTTTTCTCCCTGTTGGAGGTTCTATGGGATCCACCAAAGAAGTTCCTTCTTCTTTCCTTTTCTTTCAGAAGAAAAGAAAAATTTTGACAGAATGATGTAGCGGAAGAGATCTGAATAATTGAAAAGAAAAAAGTAATAATAAAGAATGAATTCCATTTTCAGAGACATGCTATGAAAATAAAACCGTATTCCGTTATACAATGGGGTAACTCTCTTGCATTAGATTAGGTAATTTTAGTTGAGATACTACGATCACTGGAATCGAACCGTCATTTATTGAAGATAACTATCGGATACATGACAGCTATGATAAGTCTATCTGTATAACAATAATGCCTTTATCCCTTTGTAATATTAATCTTTTATGTTCTTAATTATCTAAAGATTTTAGAAAAAGGTATATGAGTCCTACATTTTTTTTCAATGACCAGAAAAATAATGTGTTAGTAGCAGAATATTTCTGAAACGAAAAATTCATCACTTTTAATCCACACATAGATTTTGAAAATTGGCTTACGTGGGTTTCTAACCTCTTATGAATCAGCTGTGTTCGACAAGTTCAAGGACCCCAATGGAGAGTTTAAGAAAACCATTATCAACGATGTGAATGGCATCCTTAGCTTGTATGAAGCTTCATTTGTAAGTGTGCATGGAGAAGATCTTCTGGATGAAGCCCTTGCATTCACAAGGGAAAACCTGAAATCCTTGGCTATGCAATCAAGCCCGCATCTTGCAAACCATATTAGGAATGCTTTGGTCCGGCCCTTTCACAAAGGTGTACCCAGAATTGAGGCTAGAAAATACATCTCTTTCTACGAAGAAGAAGAGTCTCGGAACGACACTCTACTCAAGTTTGCCAAGATAGACTTCAATAGAGTTCAGTTACTTCATCGACAAGAACTTTGCATTCTATCGAGGTAATTTTTTGTATGAGTTTGAGGAAGATACCAGAAAATGGAGGCAGGCCACCCATTAATCAGATTAACTTTTGTTGGAAATTAACATTTCAGGTGGTGGAATGATTTAAATTTTGCTGAAGAGTTTCCTTATGCAAGAGATAGAATTGTGGAGTGCTATTTCTGGGCAAATGGAATCCAGTTCGAGCCTCAATATGCTTTTACTCGGATGATGTTAACGAAATATACAAAGTTTGTGTCACTAGTAGATGATACATGTGATGTTCATGCAACTTTTGAAGAAGTCCAGCAGTTTACAAATGCGATTGAGAGGTTTGGACTCTTTCATTTCTACATCTTTCTTAAACATAAAAACTCAATTAAATCATACAAAGATGTTCAATAAAAAAATTTCAGATGCTCCATGGATGCCATTGATGAGCTGCCCGCAGATGACATGAAAGTTCTTTACAGAGCTATTTTGAATCTTTTCAACGAAACTGAGAATTATTTGAGCAAGCAAGGAAGATCCTATGCTGCATATTATGTGAAGGAAGAAGTAAGATTTTTCTAGGCTCATGCATATTCTATCGGTATTGTATATTTATTGAAATATTGCTTAGTATTTTACCACACAATCTTGGTTTTGCTGGTATGTTATTAGTTTAAAGATTTGGTGAGAGCCTACCGTGTAGAGGCACTTTGGGCAGATAAAGGCCATGTCCCAACATTCGACGAGTACGTGCGGAATGGATTAACCACAAGTGCTTATGGGGTAATTATGGCAGTATCCTTCCTGGAGATGGAAGAAGTTGCAGGAGTGGAGGAATATGAATGGCTAAGAAATAATCAAAAAATTGCTAGAGCCGCATGTATGATCGGTCGTTTAATGAATGACATAGTAGGCCACGAGGTATGATGCATATAAATTTCAATTGTTTTCAACCATGGCTCAACTCATGACTATCCTTGTGTTTCTTCACAATTCTTATTAGTTTGGGATTTGTAATGTTAATATATATTTTTTTTTTGGTTAGAAAACATAATTCATATTTAATAGTAAAAAAAAAAAAGTGTAATATAAAGGTGAGAAGAAGTCTCTTATCATAAATTTAGGTTTTTTATATGGAATACAATCTCATCTATTTAATTTTATAAGATATTAAAGCTTTAAAGAAATCTAGCGGTCCTACAAAGATAAGATTAACAGCAAGTGAAACATTGGTTAGTTAAACAAAAAATAATAAATATATAAGTTTGAACCCACCCTATGGCTTAAATTTTTTAAATAAAACTTAATTTTAACTATCAAATTTTATAAGTTTCTCTTTCAATCATTACAACATTTGATATATATTTGTAGGCTGAACAAAAGAGGGGAGATTGTGCATCTAGTGTCGAATGCTATATGAAACAATATGATGTTTCGAAAAAGGAAGCAATTGAAGCGATTCAAAAGATAGTTGCAAATGGATGGAAAGACGTTAATAAAGATTGCATAAGGCCAACTACTATCCCCATGCTTCTCCTTCAACAGTATCTCAACCTTATTCGAGTGACCGATGTTATGTATAGGGGTGATGACGATGCATACACAATTCCCTCAAGTTTGAAAGATTATTGCACTTCATTGTATCTTGAGCAAGTAGCCATGTAAGAAAAATATTGTTCTTCGGGTTGTGGTCTTGTTTGAATTCTCTATTAATATTTGCGAATGTTTTGTAATAAAACTAGTCGGTGACTCATGAACCTTAAAAATGGGATGATAGACTATGAGTTTGTGTAGTTGGAGCAGGTCTATATATTTCTTGGTTGAAATATAAATATGTAATGATTAATGCTTTTGATTTAATAAAATGTTTTTTTTTTTGTTTGTTTGTTTTTTTTTTTTTTTTTTTTTGCTATTATATTATGTTCAATGATAACAGAAATATTTTTGAGGGAACTCAAAGTTCAAATTTTATTCTCTCTCATCTGTGCTTTATATATACAATTAGTAAGGGTAAAAGAGTAAAAACCAGAGCTTAGCTAATTTGTTATAACAAACTAAAACAAAGAAAAAACGAAAGGAATTAAACCGAAAGCCAGCTAGTGCGAAACAGAGCAGAACAAAGCAGAAGGAAAGAAACTCTTATCAATGTGATAAATGAAATGCCAAGAAATACTTCAAAAAATAAAAGAGAGAAAGAAACTCTTATGATTTTCGTGCTTATCAGTCACTTATGTAAGTGGTCATTGAATCACTTTCTTAGCTAAGTGGAAATTTCAAATCTGATTGCTCAATGATTAACTGTGAGTGTTGAAGGTTTTATTGGTTAATTTTGATTTCTCTCTTTCTCAATATATTTTTATAATAAGTCATAAAAATAAATAAAAAATAAAGGATATGCTTACTTATGAATGGAAGCAAAATATTTGGCTCGATTTTTACTATTAATAATGAAATGAGATGGAAAGGAATGAAATGAATGAGTTTTTCAAATTAACCTTTTTAATACTAAATCGGCATTTTGCTTATTTATTTCCAGCATTCATTATCTTTTTAGAAGTTATTCAATTATTTTAGAACATTTTGACAAAAATTCAACTCAATTTCTGACCATCAACTAACAAATTCATAGCAAAAGATAGAAAGTGCAATAATAAAGAAAATAGGAGGCAGAAAATGTATGGTTTTCAAAATAGAGTGCAAAGTGAAATGACATAAAAAATAACGAGCGGTAATGGTAATTAACACTTATCTAAAACATTTTTTTGCAAATTACATTTTATTTGCATACAAACCTTTGTACGAATTCAATTGGGGTTGAATTAGAGCGATTGAAGATCTGCAATGAATTACTTGAGGATGGTTTGTCTGATGAGATTTTTGAAATTGGACTATCTTCGTTGGAAATACGTTTAGCATTTAATTCCTCTTGATCTGGTGCAAAGTGAAATATCACTGTTATGTCGTTGAGCTTCCTTTTCTGACATTGTTAACATCGTTAGTCCTCCGAGAAGATTTTCTGGTTGCCATCGTGGTGGAGGCTGACTGTTGCTACTTTCCTGGGAGTGTGCGTTCTCAATACCAATTCGATATGCCTTCAGTTTGTTGGAAAAACACAAGGCTCATAAGATGCCCTTCAGCTTCATGAACAAATGTGAGATTATAAAACTTATCGCCATGGTTAAACTAGCTACAAAAGAGTGGGAGTTAATCATAAATTCAAATCAAACCGAAATTTCTCTCCTCCATTCTCAGCTAAACTAAATCCTTGTTTAAGCGCCTTTGTCACATCCATCTCCACATGAATTTAACTATACTCCCCTTGATCTCCTCTTACACTATAGATTTCTGATTCCTGGACAGTCCCAATCTTAGTACCAAGGTTCCTTCTCATCTTCTTAGCACGACAGTGTAAGGGTACGTAGTCCCCATATCTGAATCCAGAAAGGCACAATTTGGAAGTCTTGTGCTGTAAATACGTTGTAACGCTCCCGTCTTCTTAAAACCAATAGGTTGTTCTGAAACAGCCAGGGCTCCCCCTTTAGAACTTTGATAAGATCATATTCTTGACTAAAAAAGAACTGAAAGCATCCATCACCATAATCCTGCATGTGTAGGCCTTCCGGACGCCTCCATACAATCAATGTCCATAACATCTTTGAGATAAGCTTTAATAGGTGTGTCGATAAGAATCCTCCCAATGAGACTGGAAGCTCTGAATCCCGAGGGCAATATCTTCTTCATCAAAGAAGATAATAACCTCCTCCTCTTCATCTATATCAGAAGGTGGAGGTGGTGGAGGTTGAGCCCAACTAGCAGCCATGATAAAGTAGAATCGTCAGATGTTAGATGTTATCTGATAAAATTGTTGTATCAAGATAGCTTAGTACTATATATCTCAAACTCTATCAGCTTTCTTGTTTAACTTGATAATAGGAGTTATGTAGTTGTTATTCTGTATAATTTCAAAGTCAGTGCAAGTGTGTATATAAACAACTGTGAATCAATGAATAATACTTCATAGAAATTCTCTTCAAGCCAGGATTTCTTACTTGATATCAGAGCTTAGGTAACCGCGTCTCCTTCCAATTCTGACAACTTACATCTTCTTTCCTCTCAGTCGTTTCTACCTCAATTTTTTCAATATCTTTTCCTCATGCTCAGCATACGTTTTCCATCAAATTAAGACCCTCAAATTTCTTGACCTGGAAAATTCAATTCACTCTTATTATTAATTGTTATGGCCTAGTCAGCCATGTTGAAGAAACTACTCATTTCCTCTTTAATAGTATTTCAACATCCAAACTCATCTTTTAGAACCCAATCCAGAGTTTATACAACGGTTTCACACAACAAAAATTTTAGGAAGTAGCCACGGATGTTTCCTTCGCTAGTTTCCAAAAATCCATTGCTAAATGGCATTAGGTACGGATTAGAGACAAAATCCTCTTTAAGTTAAAAGTTTTTACATATGTTGGTCGTTTTACAAAAAGCATTGCTTGAGTCTTTTGGCTCTAGCTCCAGTGCCAAACAAGTTCGGCTACATCTAGCTCTTTAGGAGCTTACCTTTACAAACAAGGGCATGGCTCAACTTCTACTTCCCAGAGAAGTCCATTGCTAATGAATTGGCAGCAACATGTATGCCATTCGATAAGGCCGAACTCAATGCAAATATTTTTCGATTGTTACCTAATGAGTATCATCCTATTACTACTGCCTTGTGTTTTAAAAAAATCAGGTCTCTTTTGATGAGTTGTGTGGCCAACTGATCTCTCATGAGATTTTACTTAAGGTATCCACACTTTTAGTTTCTGTCGTTGCCAAATATGGCATGACATGAAGGATCCAAATGCACCTTTAGCAGAAACAACAATAATAACAACAACAACAATTTTGTTTCTTTTTCAAACCAAAATAGTAACAATGGCAATAACTGTTAAGAGCTTTGGGGGTGTGAGTTAAAAAAAACACAATGGCAACCATGGGGACCAAAATAATAATTGGAGGTCTCCTCACCAACCATATCCAATTTGTGTTTAGCGTAGTCACACTGCCAAATGGTGTCCAAAACAGTTCGACAAGTCCTTTGACTCTCCCTCTGTAAACCTGGCTCCAATAAATCAACACTCCAATTCTTTTTATTGATATCCTGATACTGCTATTAATCATCGCATGAATCTTGATATTTTTAACCTGCAAATCTCCATTGATTATAAAGATACAAACAAAGTTTTAGTAGTTAATGGTTTTGATCTCTCTATTAAACATATTGGTCAACTACTATACACTATTCAAACCATCCATTCAAATTTAAGAATGTTTTACATGTACCAACTACGCAAAAGCAACTCCTTTTTTTATAATAAATTTGCAAAAGACAATTCTTGCTTCTTTGAATTTCATTGGAACCATTTTTTCTATGAAAGATCAAATGACAAGGAACACGTTACTGCAAGGTCCAGCTGAAGATGTTCTGTACAAGCTTTCTGAGATTTCTTTAAATTCTCTTGCAAACATACCTCAGCAGCTGTTGATTGCATAGAAGTTGTATAGAAGTTGTTGAATAGGCAAGCTTAGGTGGCTGGACATGTTGCATTTGAAAGCTTTGACTTATTCTTATAGTTTTGGTTATGCATTTTCTTTAGTTGCTAAAAAGTAGCTGTTCATAACTTAGATCATGTTCTGAATTCATGTCATCATGTTTTATTTATGGGTTAGATCAAGTAATCATTGTCATTTTTTATTATTTTTTCAGTTACAATTTTTTGTATTTAAGCACATTTTGATTCAATGAAAATATATCAGTTAGTAGCCAATTTTCTTGAGTTCTAAAAGCTTTGTTTTATCAACTTACATGTTCTATAGCCTTTAGCTTCTATTGTTGTCTTTGTGAGTAAGGTCTTATAATTGGTATCAAAGTTTTCTTCTTAAGGGACTTATGAGTGAATTTGAGTGAAGCTTTCGAAAAAAAAAAAAAAACATAAACATCTCTCCGAAATCAATCAACAAATGGATTCAACCTCATCATTCACCGTAGTGGCTCCACCTATTTTTGATGGAGAAAATTATTAGGTTTGGGCAATGAGAGTGGAGGCCTACTTGGATGCTAGTAATATTTAGGAAGTTGTTGAAGAGAACAACAAAATTTCTCCATTGCCTAACAATCCAACACTTGCTCAAATCAAGAATCACAAAGAAAGTAAGTAAAAGAAGTCAAAGGCAAAACCATGCCTATTTGCAATTGTTTCACCAACAATCTTTACTCGGATCATGACTTTAAAATTAGCAAAGGCCATCTAGGATTTTTTAAGGAAGAATATGAAGGTAATGAGAGAATCGAGAGGGATACGAGCACTAAATTTGATCGGGGAGTTTGAGATGCAAAGAATGAAAGAGTCGGAGACTTTCAAGGACTACTTTGATAGACTTTTAAGCATTGTCAACACGAGTAAGATTGCTTGGTACTAAATTTTATGATTCTAAAATTATTCAAAAGTTCTTGTTACAATCTCTAAAATAATTAAAGCAATAATTTCCCCATTAGAGCATTCAAAAGATCTATTAAGTATCACATTGGCGGAATTAATGAATTCATTGTAGGCTCAAGAGCAAAGAAGGCTAATAAGGCAAGAAGGCTTAGTAAAAGGAGCCTTACATGTCAAGCTCCAAATTAATTAAAGCAACAAACAAGAAGAATTATCCACCATGTCGGTATTCTAACAAGAAAAGATAGAAAAAAGAAAAAATGCTAATGGAAATAGGGCTTATGCTTATAATAGCAGCAACTATGGTAACAAGAAAAATTATCCACCATGTCAATATTGTAACAAGAAAAGTCATCCATCTTTTAAGTGCTAGAGAAGGGCAAACACGTGAAGTGTTGTAGATACAACAAAATGGGGGCATTATGAGAAGATCTACAAGAGCAACCTTCAATAGCAAAATAAAGCTTAAGTTGTAGGCCAACGGGAGGAGGAAAAGCAATTGTTTGTAGCTTCTTATTTTTCTAGCGAGTAGCTCAAGTGAGAAGTAGCTCATATATAGTAGCTCGCACAAATCATATGACCTATGATCAAGAACTCTTTAGGGAACTTGATAATCAAGACACAAAATCTCATGAACTTTACTATTCTAAAGTAATTAACATTTATAATAGAAATTCCTTAATTTAAAAATTTAGGTCCATCTTTTATTCATCACACTCGTAATTATAAATTTATTTCATCAATCTTTCAAAGATAATTCACTAATAATCTTTATTTAACCTCGACTTATGGAAACATAACTTAAGTTGTCTTAATGAAATATCTTCGGTCGAATCATACTTGTGTAAAATGAAAACTAACTTGGCCTTCATATAAAATATTAAGTTGTAAACAATGTTTTCGTTAATATAGTTATGAAGACATCGTTTCTAAAATAAGCATATAAAAATATATTACGTAATAATTATCTTAAAACCATTTAAAGTCTACTCATTTTCATTTAATCAAACCATTTTTATTTTAATCCTTGCCTTAAGAAAGACTAAATAATTCACTTAATCTTTTGAATTCTATTTTAATTTATAATTTTACCTAATCATTTAATTAACTTATACTAATGAAAACCATTTAATATTTTTATTCATTGACCCTTTATTAATTTGACTTTTAATTTTTATTTATTTAACTTAACTCGTTGTTTAATTAAGAATTTACATATCAAACCAACTAATTAATAAACATCTTCATATATTTATTTACTCATTCATTCCGGATCCAAATTAAAAAAGTTACGTAAATCATTTAAAATGGAATCAATTAAACGTGTACCGATTTTTACAATACATTTTGGTAAGCTTTTGTAGCAACATTCCTTCCGACTCATCATCAATTTTACTTGAGTCTTTATATGTTCCCGAATACCTACACCATAAGACACCTTGATGAGCTTATGCTTAGTAAGTATAGTCATGTATGCATGTCATGTAATGCATGATGTATGATACAATGAACTACATTTTCATGACTTTGAAATACATTCTCCGTAATTCAATGCACCAAACTAAATATATTTGTATATATCCAACTATCCATGTAAACCATGTCTTTGAAAACTATGAAAAAGCATTAGACATGTCCCTATGAAGCCTATGATATTTACAATTATGAACCATGATTAAATATATGACTATGATGCCTACAAAGAGTTGATTGTTCTCTTTGTGTGACATGATTAAGCCTATGACTATGATTGGTACATGCCTAGCCATTTTCTTGAAAATCTATACACTTGATTTTGTCTTTGAAAACATGATTAAAACTATTTGGTGATGTCAATACAATCATTAACATGATACATGATCTATGAACTTCAATTAGGCATGCGAGTTGAAATCAACTATCCATTAAACATATGACATTTATTCATGAAGTATTGAATATTGCTTACCAAATACTTTCATAAACATTTATGCGTGAACAAACATCAAACCATCAAAATGGCCATTAGGCCGAATTCAACCATGCACCATTCCATGACTAGTCTTAACATGAAACTTGTTAATTACCACATCGTCAAGTTGTTAATAACTTATACAATTGTCATTTAACATAACAATCATATCAACATAAATATTAATTAATTCCATTACCAATAATGAATGACTAAATTCCAGCACCCCCATGGTTTGGAAATTATAAGAGGTAAATTCCAATCAAGAAACATGAAGCCAACAGATTACTAACTCTAATAATGATTCCATGCAGCCTTTGCTCTCAAGCCAATTTGGCTAATCTAACCCCTATTTCTTTAAAGAAGCAATGATACATTTAAGTTTGAATTTTGATGGATATATATCATAAACCTTGATTTTCTTTTTATTTATAAGGTATCAAGAAAAGCTAGCAAGGTATATATGCATAAGAGAAGCTAATAAGCTTCGAGAATATTTAATTGTTTATTGATCATACATGGTGCTTTTTTCATGTCCTGATGTGATTTTCACATATTGATTTTCTAGTCTCGAGCTCTGCTAAATTGTGGGGGAGGAGGTACATGTGCGACATACATGGTGGAGGTATATCATTGATAAACCATTCTTCCAGGAGTTAGTTTTCGAACATTGATTTTATTTTATGTATTTTTAGTTCATTGTTTTCCAATTCCCCTCTCTTGCACATTGTGTTTAAAGGTACATAAATACTTGGTCATGATCACCATTATAGCATAATAATTCATGGAAACTAAATTAATTTGCTGGTAATTGACATAACCAAGCTTATCCTTGATTCAAATGTCGGGATCAAAGACAATAACTTATTGTTATTCTCTAGTCGATAAAGTTGCACTCGCAAAGAGTCCAATTTAAAATATACGAGTTCCGGGCTTAACCGAAAATTCCCTAGCTAATAATGTTGAACTCTTTTGTCTATTTTAAGGTTATAGAGGGGAAAGAGCTACTTAGCCCTCGTATGAACAACAAGAAGGAGAAACTCGAGAAGGTAAATTAATCACTAATTCGAATACTAATTCTTTGAGGGACTAAATTACCATTTTGCTTTAATATTTATGAAATAGCTACCTAATATTTATGAAAGACCTAATTGATTGTACCAGCTATATCAACTATATCGACTTGCTAAAGGAGATAATCAAGTTAGACCCTAAATCGCCATAATGCAAAATACCTGCTGAAAACATAAAGATCGCCCATAGGCTTAAGGAAAAATTGAATATTATGTTGTTATTGTACCTTTTTAATTGTTTAAGTTTTCAAGCAAAGAACATTGAACCCATAAAACATATCATGTTGGGCTAATTTTCTCCATTGCAATTCTACATACAACACTCCACCCTAACACCCAATTGTTTAGAGGTAGGCATGTATTAAAAATGCTACAAGATTATAAGTACAAGCTATCAATAAGGAGTAACTAAATTTCTCTCTAAAGAAAAGAAAGAAAACTTATTCATTAAAAAAAAAAACTAAACCCTAACACAAATTAACAATTGGGTTTTGGTCGCTTCAAACAAATTTCAAGTTTATTTCTCTCGGAAAATTGAAATACTTGGAAGGAATCAGCTCAAGCGATCGCCAAACAAATGAAGTAATAACCTTGGAAATGAGATTGGGGCGAGCCAAGGAACAAGGAATTGTTGGCTAAGTAGAGTAAATTACTTCAAGCGACAAGTGAGACAAATGAAGCATTAACCTTGGAAATGAGACCAGGGCGAGCCAAGGAACAAGGAATTGTTGGCTGTTTTGAGTAAATTACTTCAAGCGACAAGTGAGACAAATGAAGCATTAACCTTGGAAATGAGACCAGGGCGAGCCAAGGAACAAGGAATTGTTGGTTGTTTTGAGTAAATTACTTCAAGCGACAAGTGAGACAAATGAAGTACTAACCTTGGAAATGAGATTGGGTGAGCCAAGGAACAAGGAATTGTTGGTCGATTTGAGTAAATTACTCTCTCTGCTATTAAATTGAAATTTAATGGTTCACAAAATAGATTTGACATAGATAAAAGAGAGAGAGAGAGAGAGAGTTTGAAGAAGAAAATAGAAATGAAATACAAGTAGAAGAAGAAACTATTAAATATTAAAAAAAATAAAGAAGAAGCAGAGCAAAAGACAAAAAAAGCAAAGGAGAACAAGAAGAGGTGAAGAAGGAAAACTCTCAATAATGAAGTTTGTCCCTTTCGAACCAAAAAAATTAAAAAAGAAGAAGCAAAGAAGATGAAGGAAGAAGCGGATCGAGGAGACTAGGCATAGGAAGAAGAAGCTGGAAAACCCTAAGAAAAGAAGGAAAATGAAGCGCCCTTCGATCCCTTTTAGAACCCCAAAAAAAAATATCAAATAAAATTCGTGCATCTCCTTAAAACTTGAGGCGGTTTACAAAACCGCCTCATATTTGTCTAATAAAAATGTAAATGTTGAAAAATTTGAGACGGTTTTGTAAACCGCCTCAACCAAACCGCCTCTGTAACTTTATTTTGTTGTAGTGGGGTTTCAAGTAGAAACTTTAGAGATTTTGTTAAATATCAAAAATTTCCACCCTTGGCAATAGTAATTGATATATTAAGTGAATTGAGGATAACCCTTCATCCTTGCACACAAAGGATGTCCATCACAGCTGTATTGGAGACAGTTTGTGGTTGACTACCACTTTTTATGGCAATTTCAAGAGTTTCTGATAGGTGATGAGTAAGAAAAGGGCTGGATATCTAAATAAGAATTGTAAATTTGAAAAATCCAGAGTGCATTAAATAAAGAGGCTGGGAGGGATAAAAGAAACTGAAAAAACGTTAATTATCTGATTAATTTGGAAATGTAACTTAGTTTCAAAATCTGATCCGTGTCATATGTGTATACATCAACACCTTAATATATACATTTGCCAAAATTTTTGGACTATATAAAACTAGCTAGCTGGTGATATAACGGAAAGGATTGTTTATTTTATCCTCTCCATGTCACCGCTGAGTCACACGCTTTAATACCAGAATTATCTAGGCCCTCCCTAAGCACACGGTTTACTATTATTTTAGGGTTCATCCCTTAATTTTATCCTATTTGTATATTTCTATTATTAGCCTTAATTTCTCCCATAACACTTGTATATGGATCCCGCCCAGCGTGCCTGCATTGTGAGACTAACATAAGAGCCCTTGCACGCTGCCTCTCCTGATTTTCTGTTAACGTCTATCACCTCCTGCCTGATCCTCTCTACTTGCAATTATCTCCTTCTCTAGTTTTAAGAATATTTTGGAGGTAGTTGTTTTGGTTTTGGAGAGGTAAAATGCCGGCTGTTGTAATCGCTAACAATGGCGACATGCCAGAGTTCGAAGGCAGGATAACATTCAATGTCATCTTATGCGCGGTAATTGCGGCTTGTGGAGGTTTAATGTTTGGCTACGACATTGGAGTTTCAGGAGGTGTTACAGCGATGGATGATTTCTTAAAGAAATTCTTTCCTGACGTATGGGAAAGGAAGCAACATGTTCATGAAAATAATTACTGTAAATATGACAATCAAATGCTGCAATTGTTCACATCCTCCCTGTACATAGCCGCTCTTATAGCCAGCTTTTTCGCATCAAAGACGTGCTCAAAGTATGGCCGAAAGCCCACCATGCAGCTTGCATCTCTTTTCTTCATCGGTGGTGTTGTTTTGACAACATTTGCAGTAAATATTGAAATGCTAATCATCGGGAGACTTCTTCTTGGATTGGGAGTTGGATTCGCCAATCAGGCAGTACCATTGTTTCTATCAGAATTAGCTCCAGCCAAGATCCGTGGAGCACTTAACGTTAGCTTCCAACTCTTCATAACAATCGGAATCTTGATTGCCAATGTCATCAACTACGTAGTTGGTAAAATTCATCCCTATGGATTTCGAATTTCGCTAGGAATGGCAGGCGTACCAGCTTTATTACTATGCCTAGGTTCGCTTGCCATTTATGAGACTCCAACAAGCCTTATCGAGCGCAAGAAATTAAAGCAAGGAAGGGAGGTACTTAAAAAGATCAGGGGCGTAGATGATGTTGATCTTGAGTATGATTCAATCGTGCATGCTTGCGAGGTGGCAAGCCAATTTACCCAGCCCTACCATAAACTGATGAAGAGAGAAAGTAGACCCCCACTAGTGATAGCAATCATGATGCAAGTGTTCCAGCAATTCACTGGCATCAATGCCATTATGTTCTATGCACCTGTTCTCTTCCAGACAGTCGGATTTGGGAATGACGCTTCATTGTTTTCCGCGGTTGTGACTGGCCTTGTCAATGTTCTGAGCACCATTGTTTCGGTAGTTCTGGTTGATAAGGTCGGTAGAAGGCCTTTGCTACTTGAAGCTTGTTTGCAGATGCTTATCACCCAGTGTATAATTGGAGGGATCCTAATGAAAGATTTGAAGATAACTGGCGACCTACCCAGTGGAGAAGCATGGGTGGTGGTGATAATGGTATGCGTCTTTGTTGCTGGGTTTGCGTGGTCATGGGGTCCTCTTGGTTGGTTAATTCCAAGTGAGACCTTCCCTCTCGAGACCAGAACAGCCGGGTATTCCTTCGCAGTCAGCTCCAACATGCTTTTCACCTTTATAATTGCACAAGCTTTCTTGTCCATGCTATGCCATTTGAGAGCGGGGATTTTCTTCTTCTTTGCTTCATGGATTGTGATAATGGGACTATTTGCTCTGTTTTTGCTCCCTGAGACCAAAGGCGTACCTGTTGACGAAATGGTTGAGAGAGTTTGGAAGCAGCATTGGTTCTGGAAGCGATTCTTCAAGGAGGAACAAGTTGTGCAAAGAGAAACTCAGATGATTTACCCACATTTGACATAAACTATAAAACCATACCATTTAATACATTGTAATAAGGATGACATTGATTGATGGGATCGTGTCATATAATCCATGTATGGAAAGTTAAATATAATTTGAAAATATTATTTTATTTTATTTTTTTCAGATTATGTTGCTTCAACTTACAAGTAAAAGTTAAGAAAAATAACAACTAAGTTTTTTTTAATTGATCTGTTCTGAGTCTACCTGGTCATTTTTCTAATATACCAAAAAACAAAATATGCAAACTAGCCCTATCAAATTACCCATATCCATCCTTGCATAACCCAAGACTTTATGGTGGACGAGGCTCATATTTAGTCTAATCAATATGTTGTAATTATGACCCATATAAAATAATAATAATAACAATAATAATAGATTGGCACATAATAAAATTAATTAATTACTTAATGATTTTTTTTAAAAAAAAAATCAAGTGTATACATTTAGCCTCCTACACAAATAAACTTACATACAACGGTGTTCGTGCAATCATTTATGCCTAGATAGAGCTAAATAAAGTTAGAAAAAATAATCTAATAATGATTGTGGTAGATTTGTGGTAATCTTTCAACACATAAAAAAACAAATGCAACATGCCATAGGTTTGTTGTGAGCCTTACAAATCATAATGACCACTTGCAGGCTTGTCATGAACATCCTTATTCAACAAGTATTGTAACAATCTAGGTTTACTTAACAAGTCGTAATAACAAAAGGGCTTGACAATGGGTATTTGAAGTCCATTTTAACCTTGAAAAGAAGCTTTGATATGTTCTGTGGATCTTTGAATTAGTTTTTTGGATTAGTAAGGTTTGGCTAAAATGGACTTTTGAATAACAAATTATGATTCGCTAACTAAGCAATGCGTATTTGTCCACCTATACAGTCCTTCTTGGTTTTCCAAGTCCAAAAGGATTCATTAATGGTATAGTCATATCCTATTTTTAACCCCCATAAAATTGAAAAAAAAATCATTTATATAAAAAATTAAATAAAGGAATTGCATGCTGCATATTTTTCGTAATTTTACATGACTTTCTAGCATTTTGATAAATTTCCATATTTTAGAGCAAGCTCGTAATTTTTTTTAATTTTTGAAATCTATTTAAAAAGAAGAAAAAATAGAAAAAATAAAAAGTCAAAATGCCACCAAGAAAAAGAGTACTAGATGAAAATCATTAAGAAAAAAAAAGTTGAAAAGTCATAAGAAAATTGAACAAAAGCAAGCCAATAAAAATATTTCAAAAAAATCAGAAAAAAAAAAGGCTCAAAAAGAGTTCCATATGGAAAAAAAATAGAAAAGAAAAAAAAGTAGATGATAATAATTGAAAATCAAGACACAATAAAAAGAACTAAAAGAAAAAGGATTGAAAAAATAAGTAAAGAAAGAGTTTGAAAGACGTAGGGGTGTACATGAAGAAAAAACTAAAGAGTAAGGACAAAATGTAAAAAGGTCCAAAAAAAAGAGGACCAACTTAATTTTTTAAAATGAAACAGCTTTGTTTTGGTACGCTTGCCTACCACTACACAGTTTCTTCTTCCTCTTTCTAGCCTGCGTTTTCTCGTTCTCTGTTCTTTCGTTCTGCTTTCTTCTTTCCTCCTCCTCTTTTTTCTAGCTTGCAATCTCTTGTTTGCACTCGACAAAAACAACAAACGTCCCTCTCATTCCCAGTCTCTCATGCTCCTCCGTCTGACTGAAAAGAAAACCTCTCATGTTTCCTTTCTCCACCCCCAAAATTTGAAAAAAGCCACATAATCGCCCCTTTCACGCATGCCTTCCCTCCCATTCCTGGTTAAAAAAAAAAAGGGTCACCAAACCATTCACCGAATCTTCTTGTTTCTTGCCACATTTTAGAGTTAAAACTGGCCAAACCTCTAAATCAAGAATGTAAATTAACCTGAAATTTTCCTCTACAAGGCACGACTCCAAATTGAGTATGGCTGGCAACCTCTACTAGGGCGGGGCCATGATTTAAAAGGAAAGGATAGAAGAACAAGACTAATCCAAGCAAAGAAATTCTAGGTCCTTTTATGGGTTATATAAGAGAGAAAACAGAGAAAGAAAAGAAAGGAAGAAGGAAGAAAGAAAATACAAAAAAAAAAAAAATAGAGTGGGAAGAAAACAGAGAAAAACAAAGAAAACAGAGAAAAAGAGGGGGGAGGGGGACGTTGGGAACGAAGGGAAAAAAATGAAGGAAAAGAGAAAAACTAGAGAAAGAAAAAAAAAAAAAAAAGCTACTGGCTCAATTTCCCCTCTTGTTATCTTCATCTTCCTATATCAAACAGGTAAGGTTCAGACCTTTTCCCTTTCTTTTCTAGTAAAGAAAGGATATGATTTGTATTTGTTGCTCAATGTTTTGGTTCTAGGCCTCATGTTGTCACATTGATGAGTGAAAAAGGGCAAGGTAAAAGCTATACTTATAACTTTTTTCTTTAGATTAAACTTCAAATAAGGATTTTGATAAAGGGTTTATACGAGGAAAGTTCAACTTATTAAGTTTATTATGGTTGTGGTTTAGCTTAAGAGATTACAACCACTGGTTCATGGATTTATTTTCATGCTTGTTAGATGGTTCTTTTGGCAGAAACTAAGTTAATCATGGATGGATTTTGTTAATTTTTTTTTTTTTCTTGTCTTCCTTATTTGGTGGGTGTTTAGAGATATGACATGTGTGGAGGGGAGAGTCATGTCAACCCTTTTTTCTCTCTTCATTATTTCCATTAGAAAGAAGATCAGCAGAAACCATGGATGAAATGCGACAGTTTAATAAGAAGAATAACACAGAATACTGGACAGCTGAGAGAAAGAAGAGAGTTCTATGTTTTGGTGCCTTTTCATAGGTTGTAATCCCAGCTTGTGTTAGGTCACTTTATTCAGTAGTTAGGTCTAGTTGCCAATCAATTACGCCCCTAATTTCACTAGAACAAGGATTAAATTTACACATATAAGGTTTTAGAGGCTGATCTATTGTGTATGATTTGATTTAACTTTTGAGTTCTTTTTGTTTGAAATTTTAATAATGTCTTTTCGCTATATTTCAAATTTCAGAATTCTTCGATTTTTTTTTTTTTTTATATATAGTTTCTGTCATTGATATGATGTTTTTCTAGAGATAGTTTCAGATAATTAATAATTGGGATCAATTTTTTATATGAATTTGGGCTTAAATTTTAATATATAGGCATGTGTGTCCTTCATTTATGTTGAAAAATTTATAATATGTAGATGTTATTTTGTATTTATTTTGAGTTTATTTAGTACTTATCATATATGTGATGTTTTTCTAAGTACAGTTTTGGCTTATTATTCATTTATGCCAATTTTTTATATTAATTTTATTTAAAATTTAATACGTTCTTGATGCATGTGTTGATATGGAGTGTGGTCTAAGAGATTTAAGTAGGCCTAAATAAATAGATCTGAGAGGTTTCTTTTCAAACATGGGCTGAATTCAAGTTACCTTAATACTTGTAGATTACCATTTGGGTTTGAGTTGGTCTTTAAAGTTATCCTCTTCTTGTTGGGATAGTTGACATAAATAAAGGTGTGAATGTAACAAGGAATTTAAGTAGTTTGGTTTGAATGTAAAAAGGAGTCTAAGTAGCTTTAGAAATCTATATTTAATTTAAATTAGAGCTTATAGTCATAGAAGGAAAAAAAAAAAAAAAAAAAAAAAAAAGAAGGCTAGAGTTTTGTGGTCCATGTTGGATAAGGTTTGTTTGGTTTGTCTTATATTATCTTGTTTGCAAAGCTCACGGTCCAACGAGAAGCCGAGAGTGCTACTACACTATTTCATACCTAAGAGTGCAAGACAATGCACTGTATTCTCTATACTAAAACTCTCATATTGCATGGTGTGATTTTCTTATTCGGTTTAAAGTTTAAGACTTCTTAAATTTGATATTTAGTGTTAACTAATTTTTCACAACTCTTCTATTTTTATTCATAATAGAAACATAAACTTAAAATATTTAGATAAATAAATTCATCACCACATCTAAAATGAACCTAAACTTTTCATTATTCTTTGATCTCATCAATATATCTATAAACATATCCAAAATGACCTAAAATATCATTTACAACTCAAAATGATTGATTCTAAGCAACTGCCAAAAATGGTCATAACTTAGCAGTGGTTTAACCTTTAAACTTTAAACCTAAACCTGTAGTACATGATTTGACAAACTCTATAGCTCTCAACCTGTATCCTTAACACCTCTATATGTCCTCAAGTATTGCTTTATTTACCTATATCATAAGATAAATAAAATGAGGTAAAACTCAATAAATGTAAACATACATGAATACAAATAAATTCATTATCCATGATTATAAAATACATTTCTTACCGTCCTCATGAACAAGTATAAACCAAATCATTCTCTTATGAGCCATCACACTAAGAGTATATACTAAATCATTCCTTTTTCATACTAAAAGCATTCACTAGATCATTCCCTCAATATTCCTGTCTTAAAATAAACAAAAAGTATCCATTAGATCATTCCCTTTGTATCCTTTACAAAAAGTATACATCAAATCATTTTCTTTATAAGTCTATCTTGAAAATATGAACATGACCTATAATATCAAAGGTATTTGTCATGTCATTTCCTTTATATACTAAGAGTATTCACTATATTATTTCCTTAGTATGCTCTATCTTAAAACATATCAAGAATATCTATCATATCATTTCCTTTATATGCCTTATAAATAGTATATACCAGATTATTTCCTTTGCAAGTCTGTCTTGAAAACATGATAATGACTTTTTTTGAAATACTTGAAATCATACTTAAACATTGGTGGCCCCATGTTGGGTCATTGGTCATGAGAGATAAGCTTACTAGTTTTGATTTTAAAATCGATAGGTTCTTTTTTCATATTTCTTGTTTATTACACCATGTTAGCTCATGTCAGATTAAAAGTGTCTTGAGAAAATGTTCAATTTCTTGAAGGTTTGTGGAATTCAAGACAAGGTAGAGATTGTTAAATATGTCTTGAATTTTATGATAGTCAACCCATTTAGTTATGATCCAATCCGTCATATCTTTTAACCCATTAGAGTTTTCTGTTATGTCTGAGGTATTTAAACTCCTTTCTGCTCTCTTCTTTGTATTAAGAGAAAAAATAGAGATTTAGTTTGAGCCACTTTGTATTCTCTCATTCATCAAGTGAAAACTTCGCTTCTCGCAATTCCCTTCTCGCCTATAGATGTGTCTCGATTGTTTTTGTTTTCAATTTATTTGGTTTGTCATTACTTATTTATTCTGCTGTTTGCTGCAACAATATAAGTATAGCATTCATCATGAGGGTTATTGATCAAACTGGAGTTTTATTCATGACATGAGGTAGAAAACCTGTATTTACAAGATAGAGTTGAGACAATCGACTACCTCTTCGACTTTTAAAGAAACTTGAAAGATAATTGAAACAAACACAGACTACAAGGAAAACAATCTGAGCATCTGTCCGGCTATAAATTGTGCACGGCTTCCTCATCAACCGCATAGTCTTCTGACATTTTATCGATTTCTGGTGACTGACAGATGTTGCATTTGTGAAAGCATCCATGCATCAGAGAGCAATAATGTACTTTACAAAAAGCACTGGCTTCAAATTCTCCATTGCACCATTTATTGATTCTGTCAAAGAGTTCTCGTTGCCGAGCCTGGTACCATCCATACCCATTGTTGCCATATATACGTTTGCCCAACATCAAGATTCTTGGAGATATTGCATAGATCTTCAGGTAAGAACAAGTGTCATGAAAAGTATAGCGCAAAGTCCCTACTATAGTTTTCATGGATAATGCTTTTCTCTTCTGCACCTCTTTTTCTTCCATCCATGCTTCTTGCCATATCCGATTTATTGGACGGATAGGCTTGGCCTGAAGTTCTTTATCATAATCCATAAGAATTAGATGATAGCTGGGGAAGTAACTCACTCCATCATTTTCCCAATCAGGACCGGTACTGTAGAATCTCAAGAAGATTTTCTGGGGAAAAATCTTCTTGAACCTCCTGACTTCTGTGACGTAGGCCATCAAAGATTGTCGAATACATGTAGGAAGTAAAGTGGCTTCTTTGTAACTTGTAGTCTCAACTTCGAGTTTGTGTAGTAATCCATTCTCAAAGAATCCACTGACTAATGTTTCCGAACTTCCAAGTTTTGCATCAATGAAACTAATTAGTCCTGAATCTAAACTGAACATTGTTGGAGTGACATAGGTGTTGATGGTTGCCATTTCTAAGTGTTGCTTGAGGCTCTTGAATCCTTTAGGCTCCGAGTGAAGTTTTTGGATGATCAATCTATGGACTTCTTCAGAGGCTTCTTCAAGGCACCTCAGGTTCTTTTTTATGGCTTCTTGTTGTAACATTGTATACACAGGCAAGTGAGTTTTCAGATTTGGCATAAACCAATCTCCTTTACTGGATGTAGCAAGCTGATTAGCATAGATGATGTCCATTCCATGACATGATTGATCATCTCCTGTATTTCCTTTGCGAAGGATATACAGGTCTTCAATATCCTGCAACTGCAAATAACTTGAGAATATATTTCTAAATTGATCTTCATCCGGTAATCTGCGGATTACTGGAACCAGATCTTCTAAAGCAAGATTTACTCTGCGGAGTATATCTCGCTTTTCAGATAATAAATCTTTGTAGTGTTGCTGGCAAGCGGCCAGAGCATTAGCAAACACTTTTCTCAACCTTCTTTCGTGCGCGAAATAAAGGTTATCAAGTATAATTTCTTCTTTTTCTGATAGTATATATTCTTGTCGGCTACAGTATTTGTAGCTTCCATTGCTCACTGCACTGAGCTTTATTTCTCCAACTAAGATTTCTTTAGGCAGATCAGACTCCATTTTGGCCTGCGGACAAATAATGAACTAAGTTTTGCATTCCTTTCACCTGCAACATACTCAACAGTAAATGAGAATTGCTTGCAAACCATAGCTATCAGCTATCTTTTAAGTTTCATAACCAAACATATCACTAGTCTATCCATGAACTTTTGTGTAACTATATATGAACTCGAATAGCATGCAGATATTGACTCAAAGGATATTTACTATGCAACTTTTCTTTTCTTTTTTCCATGGGGAAGTCTTTGCAAAGATCTTCCTTTTATTTTCCTTATTCTTTTACTCAGAATCTCCTGGAATCTGCTCCTACGAGTTGGGATATTTTACGCAGTTGTTCTTGAGCTTTTTCTAATTCTCTTTGAATAGATGAATCCACAGGAATCCTATCAATTTTTCTTGATATTTCATTGCGGATCTCTTCCAGTTCTCTTGTTTGTTTTCTAATAATTTGTTCCAACTCTATAGTATCAAAATTTTTAAGTATCCTATTATTTTCTTCAAGCTGCTGTAAGATATGTTCTTGTTTCAGGTCAATTTTTCTTACTAAAGTTCTAGGATCTATCTGCCTTTCCAAATCTTTCAAATCTTCTCTTCTTACCAGTTGCTCTAATCCTGGAATTCTAATGTTTCTAATATCCCTCTGAGTGGCCAACTTTTCTTCATCCAACTTTCTCAGTATTCGATTGTTTTCCAGTACTAATTTCTCCACATCTGTTTTTCCACTGGAATTTCTTACTTCTTCCAATATATCCCTTCCCATTCTTTCTAGTTTAGATATCCTGTACTCGACATCATCTATACAATCTCTAATCACTCTCTCAGTTTGTTCAAATTTTCTATCCAAATTTTTCTCATTAAATATCTTTTCGATTTCTCTCTTAAACCCACTAAATCTTTCCAATATTTCAATATTCTGATCTTCTATTACTCGACCAGCACGACTTACTATATTTCTAATATCCTCTGTCTGTCTATTTAGATCCTCCTGAGACAGTGAATTGTCTTTGAAATATTCCAACTCTTCTTCTAACCACTTAGCCTGAAATTTTAATATGTCCCAAATTCCAAGTAATAGATCATTAGTAGTGTTTCCTAAATCTTGACCCTGCTTATGATAAGTATGGTCAAAGGGAGAAAGCTGACAGGCAGGCTCAAAATTGTTATTATAAGCTCTAAATTGATGAACTCTGTAGACACCAGTATCATAAGTACCCATTTTTTATATTTTTTGGTGCAAAATAGATTTGATAATATCTTAATTACTAGTAACAATAATGGATAATAGTTTCAGAAAGTTTTACCGAGCAGCACTACCAGATCGAGATTTGTCGCATACAGGACACAGAAGATGTAGTCAGTAGTTCTACCTTGTCGATGCTGAGTCCGTAAGTCCTACCTCAACAATTACTACTCTTCAAGGCTTTGGATTTAGCAGAAGAAGTTTTGGAAGGGATTCACGTGGATGAAGCAGGAATTTTATTCTTAACGTAAATTAGGTAGGACATAAAGTGTTTACAAGGTGGATCTTGATTCTAGTACTCCCTACTCGACATCTGATGAACCAACTAGGAATATGTCTGAAACAAGCACAAACTACAAGGAAGAGAGATAGGCTGTGTGGATGCGGTATACCTCTTCTGTTTGCAACTAACCAATTTATAGAACTACAGTTAAAAGTATATTGACGCTTAAGTATGTTTCCGAAAATGGAAAACTTTATTTAAACAATTAAAGTTTTTGCCATTTTGTCAAATTAACAAATTCATATTATGAAAAATATCTAATAATAATAATAATAATACCCGGTATGGGGTAATACAACAATTCTTAAGAATGAAGTATGTAGTATCCGGGAAATATATGTTAATTTTTTTAGTATATTATGTATATCGCACCTAAAAAATCAGCCTAACTAACAATAATACATGGACAATTGAATGTAAGAACTTACGGTTATAACATAAAAGAACAGGCATCTTGTTATATTGCTTTACAATTACACATGAATTTGGATACCAAAATCCTAAATTATATTGATAATTGTTCGGATGATTATGACAGGATTAATGACGACTCAGTTTTTTCTCGTCCAAATGTAATTATATATACTTATCTCTCTCTTTTTAATTCGATATTTATGATAGAAACAAATAATTAATTATTTAATCCAGAGAAAATGAACATATTATTTCTAGTTATAAGAATTACAAGAAAAACTGATAGTATTCGTATTTTCATTTGGAATAACCCTCGTATAAAATATGGCCATTAACCGATCATATTACTGCATTAATCCACGTCATTTGAAATAAATTAATAAGATAATGATAAATAGTAGAACATTGAAATAAATTTTTATTTAGTTAAATGGTTCTGTTTTTATTCAAATTTTATTTGGATCTACTTTTCCAAAACTATTATAAATTTAACGTTAACATTTATATAGCCACCAATTGATCAAGTTGCTTTCCCGTGTATCTATTACATATCCAAAATGGATTTTTTTTTTCCTTTATTTTCCTTATTCACATATCCAATATGCATGGAGTCCTCCAGTCCACATCCACCGTTAGGAGATAAATTGCCAAGAAATTATTGAGCTATCCAACTGCCTTTTTTTCTTCCATTACATGTGGTGCTCATCCCTTGTAGGCCCTTGGCACTCAATCGTTATAATGTCCAGTTCATCAAAGGCATTAGGATTGGTTATATGTCACGTGGATCAGAAATGCAAAAGAGAGCATGCAGTCACAACTGAAAGGGAGGTGAGACAATGTAGGTCCGAGTACATGTTCTTGAATCATGATAATACTCTCTTTAGATTGTTTTTCTTTCTATTTATATATCTTATAAATTGATTGTATAGTTAAAATTTTTAGTAATTTACTTTCTTAAAATATCTCTAATTGATAAAAAAAAAATTATTATTTCTTTTATTTTATGTTCTTCGCTAATAAACAATTAATTTTTTTTTATACTTTCACTTTATAAATACAAATATTTTTAACATAAAAATTTCAAAAAAAAAAAATATTATACGATAAATATTTATTTTTATAAAGACTTTACTGCATGCTGAAATTTTGAGGGTAAAATATTTTCTTTATTATGTTATTTTTTTCAAAATTATCTTAAATTTGATCGTTAATTAATTTAATAATTTTTTTAATTTATCATTTTAATTTTGGATAGATTTTCTCATCACTCTAATATTGGTTTTATGTAATGTAAGATTAAATTTGATAACTAAATATTTGAAAAAAAAAGTGTTTTAAAAAATATAAATAAAAAATACTAACATGATATAATAATTAATAATTATTTATTATAGCCTAACATAGTGTGAATGGGATAATGAGGCTGCCAAACAATCATCAGCAAACTCAACGTGACACTGATTAATCAAAAGGCCTTTCCAAATGACCTTGCTAAAGTTTGTGACTTCAAGAAATGTGACATTGTTTCTGATAATCCACTGGAACTGGATCACCACTTATTTTCCCCTTTTTTTTTTTTTTTTTTTTTTTTTTTTTTTTTTGTAGTTGGCACTTGCAAATTCAACAGACATTGCTATCACAATTGTGAACGCAGGAAAGTGCTAGAACCAAGTCATTAATGTGATTTGTAATCTTTTTCCGTCATTTTGCAAATCATTCATGCTCAAACAAACTAGCCCATTTTATTAATTGGCTCTGCACTTAGATTCACGTGATGTCTCGGTCCACCTACAAGTTGTCGGTCCTTCATCTGATTTCTAAACCACAACTATGATTGGTACCATGGACACTGAACGTAGAACAAATGGGTTTGTACCAAAATGGTCATTTATTGATTCAAATATTTGCAGTAGCTAGCTAAGCATTTATGTTGATGATATAATTCGATCATTGCCGAAAAGTTTAGTAAGAAATTCAAGTTTAATTACTTCTGACTTTCGGTGGCAGCCTCATTTCAAGTGCTGCTTGTTTAATTCTCTCTTCTTCTTTTTTTTTTTCCGGGGGTCCATGGTTCCTTTCTTTAGCATCTAAGAGTGTAGGAGCTTATCATATTGTTTTACTGTTGTCCAAATTTATTCTTGTCGTGTGTTCAATAAATTGAATATGAAAGATAGATAAAACTCATCAGTGCGTTCGTCTTACATCTTATTGATTGGCTTCACTTAAAAACTCGTGGAGTATACTCTATTCAGAAAAGGTCATTCCTGACTTACTAAACCCAACAAACACACTTGATGTAATGAATCAAACCCAAGATAAGGCTATTAGAACTCCTTCCACAGACCAAGGAAAAACAGCCTAAAGGACTCTCAACAAGGCAAAGTTGAACAGAGACGTGGGAAAAGTCATATTCTAAGAGCGAGAGTAACCAAAAACAAGTAGTATATAGATAGTTAAATAATAACAGAATTTTAATAGCAATAAAAGCACAATCTAGACAATTAGACCAGATAAATAGAAAAAAATGTAGGAGGTTGCAATATAAGAGCAACAGAGCAGGATAAGAAACATTATGCATTACAACACACAAAAAAAGAAAAGAAAAAGAAGAATATAGATGCATTGTAGCACAAGAAAAGAAGAACATGGAGCATTGTAGTACATGAAGAAGAAAGTGGTCCATTATTAGAAATCATGAAGGAGCAAAAGGCCTATAAATACCGATTATATACGCTACAAAAAACAGCAATTTAGTGACGACAATCAGCGATGCATTAAAATCCGTAGTTAAATAGCGACAATTAGCAAATGATTTACAACTCGCCATTGAAATATAGGTTTTAGAGATGGACTATCGAGCGATTTATGATGGATTGTTTACAACAAACACGGTCCATCATTAAATATAGTGGTAAAATATCCACGATTGTTTTAGCAATGGATTAGCGATACCATTACGAGGACATTTAGCGACGGATCTTTCATTTTGTTGCTATTTTTGGGTTGCTTTTCCAGTTTGGTTAGCAAGAGAATATTGTGTCACTACTCTCTTGATGTCGTCATCAATTAGCAACGGATGATGTTTGCTTGCTAATTGTACCAATAATAGCGACGGATCATGTTAGTCGTTATTTTTGGTAAAAAGATCGAGATTGTTTGAAATTCAAAATCGACAACGAGACACTTATGTTTGTGGCATATTAGTGAAGTATTATCGATGGAGTCATGATCGTCACTAAAATTAAATCCAGAAATTGGTAGAATTCTCTTTTTTTCGTAACACCCCAACATAGGATCTAAATAGGTCGAGAGTATTATCGGCGAGTGCCTCACGTTCTTAGTGGAATGAACGTGGAGACACTAAGCCTCGTGTTATTATTTGTTTAAATATTTATCAATTGCCACGGAAGGTTATTCGGTTTTTATAGTTAGGTCCATTCTCATTAAACATTTAGGTAAAAATTTTAACTTAAATTCATTTAATAAACATAATTATCACAATTTAGCAATTTATTTAGACTTCCTTCGAATGTTTCGAAAATATAGTTATGGAAATAATGTTTCTAAAAATACACAACATGTCCAAAAATATGCAAATGAAAATATATATTATGTAAGACATTTTGCTATCAAACATATTAAATTATTTTAAAACCACTTTAAGTCTAAATCCATCTTCATTAAATCATTTCCTCTTAAAATACTTTTGAATAATCTTTCTAAATATAAAATAATCCATTTAACTTTAATTCATTATTAAGCCAATTCAACATAAATAACATTATTACATAAGTAACTTTTCGAAATGTTTAGATTTCTAAATTCCTTTATAACTTAGAAATCCTATGGACTTGGATAAAGTATTTAATTAAACGCTTTGTATTTTAATCCTTGTCTTAAGAAAAACTAAATAATTCTCTTAATCTTTTGAAAAATAATTTAATTTAGAATTTGACCTATCCATTTAATTAATTTATACTAATTAAAACCATTTAATATTTTTAGTCATCAACCCTTTATTAGTTTGACTTCTAATTTATACTTAATTAACTTAATTCTTTCTTTAATTAGCAATTTCTATGCCAAACCAACTAACTAATAAACATCTTGAAATACTTATTTACTCATTCATTCTTATTCTAAATTAACAAAGTTACCTAAATCATTTAAAATAGAGTAGATTAAACATGTATTAATTTTTACAATACACTTTAGCAAACTCTTGTAGCACCTTTTCTTTCGGCTCATCTTCAACTTCACTTTGAGTCCTTATTGTTCC